ATTTTAGACTTTAAATTCTAAATCTGGATTTTAAAATAAAGAACTGTATTCAATTTCAGATCAATTTAGTTGTGCAACCAGCATTGCCACCACCAATAGCATGCCCATTGCTTTAGCCTAATCTGGACAATGCTCTCACATGCTATATAATCTATTCTGTTTAGTATCTGTCTCCCCTGCTAGAACATAAGCTCCATGAGGGCAGGATTCTTTGTTTTGTTCACTGATGCCCAATACAGTTGCTCAATAACCAAGAAGGAATTGTCCCCTTTATGCTTTTATCTTCTATTTTGAACATTATCCATCTTTTAAAAAAAAGGCAAAAAAATACGGTTTTATTTTAGCAATATGTTGCAATTTAAAATGACACGTAAGCACTTGTTTTACAATATGCATTTTCTCTAAATGCTTTGTAAAGGTAAAAAATTGTTCAAAAGACCAGATAATCATGGTCTACAGGTACGCAACACAGACAATTTCCAAGGAAGTCACGGGCCTCCAGCAGGCTGGGAGAACACAGTGGCTGCAAAGAATGAAAAATGCAGTTCTGCAACACCAGGTGTGGAGCAGGGATCCGCAGTGGCACAGCCCGGCGCAGGTACATGCTCTGACAGCACTGTCCTGAACTGGTGATGTGTTTGGCAGGAAGTGCATTATGCTGCTCACTAATTTCTAAAACCTGGATCTTCCATTTTCCAGCTTGTGGAAAAACTAATATTTTATTGCAATTGTCAGACTTTGTCAACGTGTTCATGTGTTCCTTTAACAGAGGAAATGATGAGAGAGCATTTTCCAACAGGTTAAAGACGATACATAACATCTGCTTCAATGATGTCACCAGCGTTCAGGCAAGAATTTCATCCAGAGGCATCAGTCCTTCATTAGAACAAACTCAGGGTCTCTGGCACTCCTTTTTCCGAACCTTTGATTTTGGTGCTATGAGGACAGAAAAGAAAAAGAGAAGGTGAAGAGGCAGGCCGTGTCAGACTCTCTTTGTCCTGATTTGTTTGAAGTGAGGTACTTTATATACAATAGGGAAAACTGACCATTTGGATTTTCTTGTTTGTAAAAGTTCTTTAACATTTCCACTGCTTCCTCAGCCCGATACCCCGGAATGCACTGATGAAAAGAGAAAGTTCAGAATGACTATGATAATGTGTGTTGTGTTCCATAAAAAAGACAACATATATATAATTATATAAACAGATCATGTTAATACACTTTGTGGATATTAATAACACGGGAAGCATGTTTCCAAAAGAATAGCTATCTGGCCTGTCAAATATAATCTCAATCAACTAGTTATTATTTCTCAACCAACTACTATTGAAGTTATGAACTATGTGACATAGGGTAAGATTCTTAAAGTCTCTATGCTTCAGTTTCCTCATATGTAAAACGTATTTAATTATAGCAAATTAACCCAGAAGGATTTGTGAGGATTCAATAAAATTAAATAAAACCATGCCTGTTAAGAACCTAGCACATCATTAGGGCTCATTAAGTATAAGTTATTTTTATCTGGTCTTATTTACTGTGGCCCAATAAGTGTTTGATGCTATAGAGCAGTGGTCGGCAAACTCATTAGTCAACAGAGCGGCAAACAGTGGCTCAGAAGCCACATGTGGCTCACGAGCCACAGTTTGCCGACCTCTGCTATAGAGCTATGGTTGGCTGTCCACAGCTAAAAATTATTAGATTAAAAGGGGTTTTATCTTTATAAAGGGTTAAAAAAAAATAAGAATATGGATAGAGACATAAATGGCTCACAAAAATTAAAATATTTACTATCTGGCTCTTTACAGGGGAAAAAATTGTCAATCCTTAATTACTATAGAGGATTTTTTAAGTGTTCACTTTGTGCTATCTTGGTACCTAATTGGGAAAAAAAGAATAACATGGAAGAAAGCAAAATTGTGGTAAGGTAAGGATCTGAAACTTGAACCTGCCTTAATGATAGAGAATATTTAAAGAGGCTAAACAGAGCATATTAGGGAAAGAATAAGAAAAAGCTTGGGTTGTATGTGAGGAAACCAGCTGATGGGGCAGAGGAGGTTATTGAGGAAATATAAGGAAAGAAATTAGAGAATAAACAAAGTAAAAATAAATAGGGCTTTGAAAGCTTGTGGCAGGAGTTTGAACTTGATACATTGCACCCTTCTGAGATGCATGAAATGATAAGAGCAGAGGCTTCAGGAAGGCCCATCTGGAGGCAGCATACAGGCAAGAAGGAACCAGAGAGCAGCACCACAGGGGGCTGGAAGGCTCCATCTGCTGCTCAAAATGAGCTCCCCTTTCTCCTGCGCCTACAGAGGCTGCATAAACCTTCCCCATCAAAGCAAATAGCCTCCTACGAGTTCAACATGTTTAGATTTCACATATAAGTGAAATCCTGCAGTATTTGTCCTTTTCTGTCTGACTTTGCATAATACCCTAGAGATCCATCATGTTGTCGTAAATGGAAGGATCTCCTTTTTTATAGCTGAATAATATTCTGTGTGTGTGTGTTTATATACTATATTTTCTTTTAGAAGCAGAGGTTGGTTGCCAGGGGCCAAGCACTGGCCAAAGGGTTCAAACTTTCTGTTATAAGAGGGTTAAGTTCCAGGAAATTTAAGATTCAGCAAGATAACTATACTATATACTATAGTTGCTATGAGAGTAGAGTTTAAATGTTCTCACCAGAGCAACAATGACAACATGGTAATTATATAAGGTGAAGGATGTGTTAACTCACTTTATTGTGGTAAACATGTCACAATATATACATGTATCAAATCATCATGTCTTACACCTTAAACTTACACAATGCTAGATGTCAATAATACCTCAATAAAGCTGGGGAGAACAGCCCAATGACCTTCCTTCTACCCTGTGCCCAGGCAAGCTGCTCCCCGCTGCTCCTTGAGGATTTTCCAGAATCATGGCCTTCAGTTTGGGGGCTCTCATTTCCTCCTTAACCTCACCCTCACTGGCCTGTGCCCCCAGGACTCTGCTGGAACTACCCGTTCAGATATCAAGGACAGGGGGGGGAAATAAAAATACAGGTATTGATTGCTACACACCAAAAATAGTATGCAGCAATCGAGAGAATTACTGAATTTGTGCAAAAACATTGTGCAAAAGCATCTACTGTCACTGTCAGAGGCCAAGCTTCGCACAAACTTGTTATAGCATGGAGCCAGGAACACTCACTGAGTGAGAACCCAACAGTGGATAATGTCCTCAGCATGCCTCAAGGCCTGGGCAAAGGCTGTCAGAAGATACCTTGGAAGGCTCTCCTCCAACACAAATTCAGTTGATTCTGAGTTGGGCACTCACCCGGAAATGACTGCCTGTCACTCACTGAATTCGACCAGCAGTCCTGAGAACCTGTCTAGTTCTATCCTGGTTTCGGGTATACCCACCATATGCTCACTATTCACAAGCCCATGATGAGATCAAAGTCATTAGAAAGAAAGAAAAAGCATAACAATTCATGTTACCTGAAACGGTCTCCCAGTATTTGGTAAATCAGCAGAGGCAATGTCTAGAACAGAGCCACAACCACCAAAACGTTCATTCTGACAGCCATACACAACCAGAGGGATTTATGTGAGAGAATTAAGGTCTTATAGAGAATGTGCAGTACAAGACAAAACTAGGATTTACACTGGCCATTCTGGAGAAAAAAGCTCCTGCTACTCTTAAAACAACTGAGCTTGGGTTTAAGCTTAAAAATCATAAAATGAGTTACACAAAAGAGGTTTAAAGGATTTAGAAATTAATATCTCACAACTGCAAACAGAATGAAAACTAAATGTTCAGTGTAGTGTTCTCTCTGGTTTTTCCTAAAATCGGTTGTTTTGGAATCATTAGAGAATCAGAGCCAAAAAAAAGAGGTAGGTATTTAATCCAGAGATTTTCACCTTGTAGAGATAACATATTGTTATCTGTGATTTCCCCAAATAAAATATATCCTATGCCCAGTATAAAATGGGCTAAAGCTGAACCACTCTGTATAGTAGTATGGGTATAGAAATCTGTTGACTAATACTGGCTTCTTTATCGAGATTGTACATTTTATCAGACTCAAAACTCTCTGTATTATTTTACAAGTGATCAAATGTTTCACCCATAGATAGCAAAATACGTAGATAAAAACATCCAGGTGTGAAACTGAGTGTTAAATTATTACATAAATTTGTTTAAATCTTTAGAGACTAACTTGCAGTACTCAGTATTTGTGTCACTTACTCTATGAAAGACAAAGAGCTGTAACTATCAATTTCCCATTTATTTAAAACTATATCATAATATATTGGTTAGTTCTTTAATTTATATTGACTTTTGACAAAATTTATCATATATCATAATAAGTATTTATGGCAAAAGTAAGCAAATAAAAACATATAAACAGCCCTAGCCGGTTTGGCAATGTGGATAGAGCAATGGTCTGTGGACTGAAGGATCTCAGGTTTGATTCTGGACAAGGGCACATGCCTGGGTTGCCAACTCCATCCCCAATAGAGGGCATACAGGAGGCAGCCAATCAATGTTTCTCTCTCATCATTGATGTTTTTATCTCTTTTTCTCTCTCCCTTCCACTCTGAAATCAATAAAAATATATTTTTAAAATAAAAAAACAAGCATATAAATGAAGAAAGAAAAATTTTAAATCACCAAAATCTATTATCCAAAAGCAAGCCTTACGTGCATTTTTTTCCAGACCTTTCTTTATGTAGTTTTACCCTATTTTAACTTAAATTATGATTTATTCTTCTATTACAGTTCAAATTAGTGCTAAGCTTTTCTATCTCTAGTTTATATAGTTCCATGTTTATAGACATTTTTCTTTTTCTTTTTCTTTTTTATAGACATTTTTCAAAAAGGCTATTTTACTATTTAAAAATCTTTTCTCAAGCATTTTGGCCTTCACCTCCTAGAATTTGTTTCATAAGTCTCTGTAGGGACAGGTTACCTGTCCGGCCACTTTCAAGTTCACAGGAAGGGTACAGACATCAACCACGAAGCCCAAGGATACTCATGAGGCGGAGGGCAGCTGCGCACATGATGCACGGCTCCACCGTAACGTACAGCACCATTTGCTCAAACACCGCGGAGGGGCTCCGGTTGCTGCCCCGGCACCAGGCTAGGGCCTGGTCGATGGCCACCATTTCTGCATGTCGAGTCGCCTGAAAAGAGAGAGAAGCTTCTTGCCTTGACAATGTTTGCTACAGGTAACTGTATTCTGCAAATAGTCAAAAATAAATATAAAAATAACTGAGCCTCCTGTTTCTGCCAATGTTTTAAAGAATGGAGGTTGCAGGACACCTTTAGCAGTTGACAACCTAGTCCCCAGGTCAAGTACCGTAACATCACCAAAAAAGACATTTCATCTGAAATGCTGTACGAATCATGCTATATTGTAGTTAAGGGTATGCTCCTTCAACTAAAATGCCACAGTGAAGAAATGTCTTATAAAAAAAAAAAAAATGCCGAAACCGGTTTGGCTCAGTGGATAGAGTGTCGGCTTGGGGACTAAAGGGTCCCAGGTTCGATTCCGGTCAAGGGCATGTATCTTGGTTGCGGGCATATCCCCAGTAGGGGGTGTGCAGGAGGCAGCTGATCGATGACTCTCTCATTGATGTTTTTAACTCTTTATCTCTCTCCCTTCCTCTCTGTACAAAATCAATAAAATATATTTAAAAAGAAAGAAAGAAAGAAAGAAAGAAAGAAAGAAAGAAAGAAAGAAAGAAAGAAAGAAAGAAAGAAAGAAAGAAAGAAAGAAAGAAAGAAAGAAAGAAAGAAAGAAAGAAAGAAAGAAAGAAAGAAAGAAAGAAAGAAAGAAAGAAAGAAAGAAAGAAAGATGATACTAGTATTTCTGAATATTTTAGGGAATTTTCATAAGCAAAATTTTCATTTTGCTCCAGTTTCAAATGTTTTCAAGGCTGTTACTGACCTCACTCTAAGCATCTACATTTTATTTTTACTGAATGCCTCACATTTTCTTTGGGATAAGATTTTATATACTGGCAGGTTTTTGGTTTAGCTCACAGATACCTCATGTAAGCAGCAGAATTCAGGAGAAATCACACAGCATTTGGAATCAACCATGTTTAAATTTAATCCTTATTGTGACATTACTAATTATGTGGCCTTGAGCAAGTTAGTTACATATTTTCTCTAAGTCTTAGTTTACCCATAGGTGAAATGGAGTACACTGTATCCTACACCTCTCAAAGCAATCTGAATTATGGGAAGCACAGGCTGTATAATGCCATAATGTACTCTGTTATGCAATAATTATTTATAACTAGAGACCCAGTGTACAAATTCATGGATGGGTGAGGTTCCTCAGCCTAACCATCTCGTCTAGTCCCAGTCAGGTTGGGAGGAGGGGCTACCGGAGTTGGCTGTGGTAGCACACTGACCATCAGGGGGCAGCTCCTGCATTGAGTGTCTGCCCCCTGGCGGTCAGTGCATGTCATAGTAACTGTTCAACCGGTCGCTTAGGCTTTTATATATGTAGATATGCATGATCATCACATGTATCAATAAACTTATATTGAGTATTATCTATATCCAAGCCACTGTGCTAAGTTCTGTGTGGAATAAAACTCTCTGTCCTCAACAAGACTAAAGTCTGGTAAACAGAAAGTTGCTCATTTACCTGTGACCAAGGACAGTGTGAAAAATGCTGTCACGATGACCCAAGTATCATGAAAGCCACGATTATAAACTCAGAGCCAGAAGGGGTTTTAGAAAAGAGGTTCCCAAACCTGGTGGCATACCAGAACCCACTGGGGAGCTTGGAAAAGTTTCCCCGATTCGAGTGCTTTTTATAAATCAGATTCAGAATGATTAAATCAAATCTCCCCATAGTTCTCAATAAGTAATTGTTGGACTGAATCATATTAAGCAACTTCCTCTTTTATGGCAGAAGAACCAGAAGCTAAGACAGAATGTATTAAAGCCGTACAATGGAACAGGTGATAACGGTGGTAACTGGGAAGTGGAGGTGGTATTAAAGCCAAAGAAGGACTCAGGTTTCTTCATTTGGGGTCAGGAGTCTTTCTATACTGTGATTATAGGATAATCTTCTATAGGACACAGAATACTAAAATAAATTCTGGTTAATTTCAAAGTAAAGAAGAAAACATGTCATTGGGCGGTTAGATGAATGTTGTGAGGACATCCAAAGTTCTTATGTTAAAGATACTGTGCCAAATAAACCACAAAATACAAATGGGGAAATATGACAATTACCTAAAATTCTACTCCCAAATATAGGTATCTATATAGTCACTAATTACAGTATTGTGTTTATTACTTATCTCACAGATATTTTGACACCCACATAATTGCTTTGGGAATCTGTGTTCCCACTTTGTATGTGTTTTGCTAAGTCTCAGTTTTGTCTTTGATAGATAGGATGGATGAACTTGAAAGTCCACATAAGCACTAGCACTAACACCAGATTGTTCCCTGGCTGCCAAGGTCACACAACAAGATCAAAGTCTGTGAGAGTGGGCTTATGCTCTCCTTGAGTCCACCGAGTACTTCTTATAAACATAAAATCTGACGCTTCATCTATAGTTACTGGGACACACTGTTGTGATAACCATATTCAAGAAGGGTTGCCCTAATTCACAAGCTTCCAACCTAACCACAATAAATTAAAAATCTAATAACCTAGTAAAGCGTACATACTCCATGTAGTGGAGACTTCATCCCACTGAAGTATCTGAAATAGAAATAGCTTCTTTATACATCCTTTTAGAGCTACTAAAGAATGTGATATGAGTTAAAGAGATAAGTTAAAGTGAAATTTTCATATATTAGCTTTGCTTAAAACAGAGATAGACTCATTTCTTCAACACTGACATATCAATGTAATAAAATTGTCCTGAGGTTTCACTCAAGTGTTAAAGTCAACATGTGTCACTTTTAGAATCAGAAAGAAAAAAAAAAAAAAAAAGGCATTCAACAAAAAGAGCTGTTTAGGGAAACTACCTTTCCGTTGATACTTTATCGGACTCTACAGAGACCCATCTTCTCACCAGCTGTGATAACTGCACCCACTTTTACTGTCATTGCCCTGTATATGCAATTATACTCACATACATTTTTGGTTTGATTAACTTCATTCCTTCCTTTCCCCACAACTTCATTGTTGTAGACCAGAAGGCAGCCAACAGGAACTTCAGTATTTTCTAGGGCTTCTTTGGCCTGAAAAACAAAGTGGAAATTCTAAGATGTAATGTTCAATGCTTGAAAGGACTACAGGGAAGAAACAGATGCAGCAAGAGGACTAAACGCACATATAAATACCACAAAAGAGAACTGTGGCTGACCTTTCCCTTCTCTCAGATACAGCTCAGTGCTTAGTGCCCTTGCTCTCTGGACGTCCATATGGAGGGAGATCAGGAACAAATCCCTTCATTAGGTCTTGAGCTCCTGATTTATTTATTTTTCCTCATTGGAAGCAGAGGTGATTAAAAGACTTATTGATGCTTGTTCTTAAATTTCCAGGATCTATGCACCTTTTCAGAGAGAATATATATATATATATATATATATATATATATATATATATATATATATATATTTGCAAAGAGGTAGAAGAATAAATATATATATCCTTTCTTAAAAATCTTTCCTTGTTAAAATTCTACTTGCTTAATTTTGTTTCTCTAAAAAGGACATAAAGTATCCTTTAGAATTCCAGAAACATACTTTAAAAAAAAAAACCTGAGGAGCACTCTAGGTGAAAATGGCACAACCACCTTGGAGAACATTTTGGAAGTTTCCTTTAAAAGTAAACAAATATATCACCTATGGACTAATTCTACTCATGAATGTTTCTTTTAGAAAAGGGACTGTGTATATATACAAAAACAACAACAACAACAAAAAACAGCAAAAGAATGGTCATAATAAATTGATTGCAATAGCTAACATGCTTGCTATGGAATCCGAAAAAGCCAAGGAAATATGTCCGTTAGAGCCCCCAGGGGCGCTCAGCCCTGCTGAAACATTGGTGGCCCAGAGAAACTGATTGCTGGCTCCTGGCCTACAGAAAAATAAGAGAATAAACTTATTGTTTTATGTCACCAAGTTTGTGGCAACTTGTTACAAAAGCCACAGGAAACTACTACCCCAAGTAAGAGGAAGAAAAGACAAACTAAAACTGGAAGGACATATTTGTAAACCACATACTGAACAAAGATCTACTATAGTATGTAGACTACGTGAAGAACTCTCAAAAATTTAACAAGAAACTCCAAACAAGCCCCTTTAAAAAATGGGCAAATTACATTAAAGACATTTAGCCAAAGAAGGCATACAAATGGCAAATAAGCACATGAAAAAAAACATGCACAACATTAGCCATTAAGAAAATGCAAATTAGATCCACAATGACATGGTACTACATACCTATCAGAACGGTTCAAATGAAAAGTTAAAAACACCAAATGCTGGGAAGGCTATGGAGAAACAAGATCACTCATACACTGCTGGCAGGAATGTAAAATGTAAAATGGTACAAGCCACTCTGAAAAATAGTTGGGTAGCTTCTTGAAAAACTAAACATGCACTTAACACATAACCCAGCAATTGCACTCTTGCACATATTTGTACCCAGGAAAATGAAATCTTATGTTTTTACAGTACATAATTTTCATATACAGACACAAATGTTCATAGAAGTTTTATTCGTAATAGCCCAAAACTGGAAATGACCCAAACGTCCTTCAGTGGGGAAATACTGAGACAAACTTCGGTACATCCATACCATGGAAAAACTACACAGCAATAAAAAGGAATGTACTACTGATTGACTCAACAAATTGGATGAATCTCAAGGAAATTATGTTGAATGGAAAAAAAAATCTCAAAAGTTTACATATTCTTGTATATAACATTCCTGAATGACAAAATTATAGTTATGGGGAGCAGACAAATGGCTGTCTGGGTTTAGGGTTGGGAGGAGATGGAGGCCATAAAAGGGCAGCATCAGCAAACCTGTAGTTATGGAGCAGTTCTGGTGGTAATTTAAACAAAACTAGACATGTGACAAAATTACACAGAACTACACACACACATGCACACACACGAGTGCCTATGAAGATGAGGCAACCTGAATAAACTCAGACTGCATTGATGCCATCTTCCTGGTTTTGATATTGTACTGGTGTTATGTAAAATGCTAGCATTGCAGGAAACTGGGTGAATGGTATATAGGCCTTCCCTGGACACTGTTTTGCAATTTCCTGTGAAACTATATTTCAAAATGAAAAGTTAAAAAAAAAAAAAGGTTGGAGCAAATAAGAAGTATCTTGGAATGCAGACTAAGAGATGCCTAGAGAGGCAGGAGGAAAACCAGGAGTGTCTCAAAGACCTGAGGAAAAAACTGGCCAACAAAGAAGGCTCAGTGATATGGAGGCAACTCGGGTAGAATGGTGAAAAGGTTAAGAAGCAAGAACATAGAAGAATAATGAAGAATTAGGCTGGTGGGGAGGATAGGTGGAAGTTGGGAGGTTGCCAGTGGCAGGTTGAGGAATTTAAAGGTGATAGAGGAAAACAAAGCTTCTGAGTGTCATTAGCAGGAACTGCTGTAGTGTAATCTTTTGGATGTTGTTACCTTCTACCTAAGAGTTTTCTGACCAACTTGTTTTTTTCCTCCATCTCTTCCCCCCTCCACACACACACCCTTTCATAGGAAATATATCTAGGGATTCATCAAGAGTCTGTGCAAACTACAGTCAAATGCCCTTTAAGCATCTGATGAAAGTTATGAACTCTCTCACATCGCATGGAACAGGCACATGCACATAATGTTGTTATACAGTTTCAGGTTAGGAAGCCCTTTTCTAGATAGATAGCTGGCTCACCTCCTCAACCAAGACAAAGTCCTCCATTTACTGGCACTTGACAGATACCCTGCTTTGATCAACCACTCCCTTCCTTTCCACCAGCCCACATTGCTTTTGTTCTTTTTAAAATGCAGTAAGCATCCCAAACTGATCTCAACTGACTTGCTCAGGACTGTGCTGCCCATTATCTGATAGCACTTTATACTTGTCTCTAATTTTGGAACCTTGACGTATTACTTATTAACTTTTTCATTGGTGCATGATTTACGTTCACCCATGAAACAGCATGTTCCTGGGAGGCAAGCACACAGTCCTCACACTGGCAAACTCAATTGGCTCACTTTTGCAACCTTAGTACCCCGCACAAAGCCTAAAACATGGGAGACAATTATAGCACAATTGTTGAAATGGCTAAGTATCTGTGCTTGATTTCTTTTTGAATTCTCCTCAGGCCTAGCACATTATTATACCAATACCAGACACCTAGGAAATGAATACTCCAATAATAAATAATTGACTTATTTTAGAACACTTGCTTTCTCTCGATAGATAGACCTAGATAGATACATAGATATTGATAGATGCACAAACACACTCACAAAATCCATCTTTCTTTTTCCCTAATTATAAAGTAAAATACGTTCAAGGGGGAAAACTTGGGGGTAAAATATCCATATATCTATATATATAAAAGCCTAAGCAACCATTTGACCAGTAGCTATAAAACGCACTGACCACGAGGGGCAGATGCTCAATGCACAGGCATGGAAACATGGAACAGACTGATAAATCTCAGAGGGAAGGGGGGAGGGCAGGAAGAGATTAACCAAAGATCTTATATGTATACTAGGGACCTGGTGCATGGATTCGTGCACTGGTGCAAGCCAGGCTGAGAGACCCCACCAATGCACGAATTTGTGCGCCGGGCCTCTGGTTAAAAAATAAAGCCACTTAGTTATTATTCTGTAACAGAAAATTTTCAAATTTTTTTCTATGCCTGCATATACATATTTGTAGTTTTTTAAGTTAAATAGACTTATACTATATATACAGTTCAGCAGTCTACCTTTTCCATTGAGAAATATACACATTTTTCCATGCTGGGTAATATTTTCAGCACATGATTTTTTTAAGGTTGCACAGTGTTCCTCTGGATGAATAGATGATCCATTTAATTGTTTGATGTTTACACTGTTTCAAATCTCCACTATTGCAAATAAGTAAAGAACTTCCTTATACAACCCTAACAGATAGATATTATCTGCCCATTTTATTTTATTTTTTAAATATATTTCATTTATTTTTTTACAGGGAGGAAGGGAGAGGGACAGAGAGTTAGAAACATCGATGAGAGAGAAATATCGATCAGCTGTCTCCTGCACATCCCCTGCTGGGGATGTGCCCACAACCAAGGTACATGCCTTTGACCGGAATCGAACCTGGGACCCTTTAGTCCGCAGGCCGACGCTCTATCCACTGAGCCAAATCAGTTAGGGCTATCTGCCCATTTAATAGAAGGCACTGGAGGCTGGAAGGTTAAGAATCTTAGTTTGCTGTCAGTGGCCATTCTAGGGTCTGTACAAAGGCTAGTCTAATCTCTAAACCCTATGTATAGTAAGTATAAAATAATTTGTATTATGCTTACTGGGCTGTAATACAAAATAGTTTTTTTTTTTGTTTTGTTTTGTTTTGTTTTGTTTACTGTGATTCACTCTCAAAAAAGCATAAGAAACAAGTTTAGAAGAACAGTATGTAACAAATGCATAGATGCTGTAATGCCTCCTGGCTTAAAGTGTTTGGCTGTATTAGTGTATGAATGCAGAGAAAATAATGTGACAAGAGAACAGAGAAGGTGCCGAAAACAGTTTCAGGATTGAACCCCCACTGCCAAGCACAATGCACTTAAACATCTGTGGAGTGAATGACGATATAATTATGAATTAGCCAGAGGATTAATGCCTGAAATTCGTGCAAGAGTTGGCCTTCCTTCCCCTAGCTGCCAGTACCTGCTTCCCTCTGGCACTTGGGACCAGGCTTCGCTCCTAGCCCTGGTTTCATCCAGAAGGTCGTCTGGAAGGATGTCTGGTCTAATTAGTATATTATGCTTTTATTATTATAGATAGGATGTCCCCCAAAATGTATACACACTTTGAATAATTATAAAGGCAGTGTTTTCAAAATGTAAAAGAATCTACAGACATTGTGTGTATACATTTTGGGGGGACACCCTGTATATATGCTGAATGCACTTTTATCCTTGTTAAAGAGCTCGCTGACACACATAAGTGTGGGGAAAGCTTGGATTATACACAACTCTGATTAGAGCCCTCCTTAACCAACAGTCCAGAGCAAGAGGAAGGCAGTAGGATGCATGGATGGATGGATGGATGGATGGATGGTAGAATATGACTGTACAGGGGCTTGGTTTATCTACACAACCAGAAACATCCTCAGCTTCCTTCCTTCTACGGGGTCAAGGGGTCATAAATACAAAATAATGTGATTTGGCGGATTTGCTAATGTGTTCACAGCAAAGAAGGGAACGCTGCACGTATGTGCCAACAGCAGCTGGACAGGGACATTTGACGCATACTTCATGCCAAAGAAAAAGAAACAACTTCTGTGTTTCCTCTTTTCTTTCCCCAGAGCCACTATGAGAATGGCCTCGAGCCAGCTGTTTACCCAGAGAGCGTGGCGCCCACGAGATGATGGGGACAAGAAAGCACAAGGAGCGTTCGCTCAACCGATCAGGCTGGGTAGAGAGCCGGAGCAGTTCCCACCCGCGGCGGCGACCTCACCATTTGCATGGCCTCCTCCATCCACTTTTCGATCTCTTCCGCCGACACCGGGCACCCGCCGCCGGCAGCTGGCGAAGATGCCTCCTTCGCCTCCATACCGCGCCGGGGCGGCAGCGAGCTCAGCGCCGGAAGCCGGGGCAACGCCGCGGGAGCCCTTGCCCGGAACTCTGCGCGCGCGCAGCCTGCGGTTTCCGGGGGGGATTGGATCGGCGCGGCACTCGGGAGCGATTTCTGGGAGGACCCGGGTGGCCCGGCCCAATCAGCGGCGGCGGCGGCGCGGCGGCGGCCACGGAAAGCGCAGCTGATCTGCCGTCGTCCACGCCCCCTTCCCGCTCGGGTGACAGGGAGCAGAAAGTCGCGTTGGGGATTCCGGGAGCGCACCCAGCCGGGACCACGGCGTTCCTGCCGGGTCGGTGGTCCAGGGCAGGTGACAGAGAGACCGTTTCCTAGTGCAACCCCCCACCCCTACCCCTTCCCCTACCCCTAGGCAGCCCGCACCTCCAGGGCCCGAAGATGCTGAGATCGACGTGGAATTTTCTCAAACGTCACAAAAAGAAATGTATCTTCCTGGGCACGGTCCTCGGAGGTGGGTGACAGCGTTCTTGGGACGGGGCGTTGGGAGGAGGGGATGGGAGCGAGGAGACTGTCTTCTGCAGCAGAGAGGCCGGGGACCACAGTCCGGCATGTGTAGAGGGGAGTCGTTCAACCATCTTACGGGGAGGACGAACCCCCGGGTACTTTCCAACATCCCCCCCACCCCCCGATTGTGGAGGGTGAGCCCCCTTCGCCCTGACGCTGCCCCTCACTCTCTTGGTAGCCTGTCCTTTATTCTCACGGACCTTGGGAGAACTCCCCGCGATTAAGTTTCTGTTTCAAGGCACCATTTTCGTATAGACACATGTTGTTGTTGTTGTTGTTGTTGTTGTTGTTGTCGTCGAATGCTCTTCTGTTGTTTTTCCTGAGGTTCTGGGTTTCTGTTTGGCGCTCCCGGTGCTTAGCTTGGATTTCCCCCTTCGTATAAGGGTCATCATAATATTCTAGGAGTTAGCTCGACTCTGTACGCCGAGTGTTGTTTTACTGGAACGTTTGGAAATAGCACACTTGTACAGAAGGGCAGGAAGATACACACTAGACAAGAAAAGCACAGGTCGATATTTTAGCTCCGTTTCTGCTATTTTTAAGAACACGAAGTGTGCAGTGAATTGTGAAGTAAGTCGGTGCTTTCTGGATGTGCCATCTTCCTCGGGCTCCTCAGGGTTGGGAATCAATGCCCAGACAGTACCAAGTTGCAGAGGCTGAAAGGAGATTTAGAAACAGATAACAATCTTGGGAGCCTTTTTCGTCATCTGGCAGTCATTTCATAACTAGCAGGAATGTAAAGGAGAGAATAAAACGTCTGGTGAGTTATAGGAGAAGAAAATGTAGGGCTGTAAAGAAATTTTTAGATTTTGAGTTTTCTGAGAAATATCACTGACCACATGCTTTTGGTTACAGAAGCAAGTAAAAAAAAAAAAAAAAAAAAAAAAAAAGAAAGAAAAATTTCCCAAGGAGTAGGATTGCTTTTCTTTTACTATTATTATTATATTCTATTATTACCCCCCAAACAATTAGAAATTAACAATACTCTTAGCATCAGTGATTTAGATCTGTTGATTCTTGAAAGTTTGATCAGGCAAGAAGAGAGGCTTTTCCAAGTCTCTGAGATCTGTCATAATTTTATAATGAAATTTTCTGGAACAAAATTTTACCAATAAAATGTGTTTTCTGATATATTCAGCCACTGGCATCTAATGTGTATTTAGATTATGCTAAGACTGTGGAATCCATTTTATTTAGAAGCTAAAGATATATGTGTGTTGGAAGAAGTATAAATAAAATATTTTTGCCACCACAAAAGGAAATAAAAGAATTTCTCTTTAGCAATTTCAGAAAGACTGGTATACCTTCCAAATTTATGGAAAAATCTAATGCGACATTAGGAGTAAATCGTAGGGAAAGCAAAGATTATACTTTAGAGGTAGTTATAGATCTTGTCAAAAATCTATTGAGAACTTTATAGTTACAGATTAAGAGGAATGAAAAAGAAAGACAAGGTTCAGAGAGACAAAGAAAATAATCTTACTGTTTTATAACAAAAAAAGTTAATCTAAAAGACAAAGTAGATGACCTTATAGCCTCATTTTTTTCTGCTTCAAGGGAAAGGTCCTATAACATGTTACACTTCAGTTCATCTAATTCAAGAAATATTAATCAAGTGCCTATAGTACTTATCAAAGTAATATAATTGGAAATAGAGGATTTACAGAGATTTCCAATAGTAATAGTTACCATTTTGTGCTAAGCTCTTGTATTCAGTGGGGATGACAACAGGATAGTTATTGCTTTCCCATTCAAGAATTTGGGAACTAGAGCCCTAAGAATTTAAGAAACTTGCCCAGTGTCTCAGAGTTGCTAAGAAGGAAGCTAGAATTCAAATCTGAGTGTGTTAGACCTCAAAGCACATTCTCTTTCCACACTACACTGCTTTGTCTTCACAGACTTCATAGTCTGGTAGAAATGAGAAATGTCTTAGTCCATTCATGCTGCTGTAACAACATACCACAGATTGGGTGGCTTATAAACAACATAAACTTATTTCTCACAGTTCTGGAGGCTGGAAGTCTAAGATTGGGTGTCAGAGTGGTTAATTGGGGGCTTGCTTCCAGGTTGCACACTTGTAGCCTCAATGGCAGAAGATGCTCTGTGAAAACCCTTTCATAAGAATACTAATCCCACATAGAAGAGCTGCACCCTCATTACCTAAACACCTCCCAGAGACCCCAACTTCAAATACCCTCATATCAGGCGTTAGGATATCAATATACCGGTATGAATTTGGGGCAGGAGGGCACACAAACATTCACAATCTAGCAACAAAGATACAAATAATTAGAGTACAAAACAAGCTGAAAAATATTATACAGATCAAACTAACAGCATGTAAGATTATAAAAAAAAAAAAAATCAAGAAAGGGCTTAACGAAAGACACATATTACCAGGTTCGGTAGGTAGATATCAACATGTATGCTCCAAGAGGTAGGAAAAATATCTAAGTAAAAACTTTGAGGTGTAGGCCTTATTAAGTAGGGATTTCCTGCATTTTGGATGAGTGATTGCTTTAGACCAATTGTACAATTTGAACAGATTATGCAAAGGGTAGATTTTGGTTCTCAAATTTTTTGACTGGTGACGTTTTTTACACTTTTAAAAATTAAGGACTCTAAAAGAGCCTTTTAAAACTTGTATCTAATTAATAGTTGCCATATTAGAAATTAGAAGTAAGAAATGTTTTTAAATAAAATTTTAAAAAATAGTAAACTTGTAACCTATTAATATAATTATTTTTCTAACTTAATGAGAAGAGTGGTATTGTTTTAAATTTTTGCAAATGTCTTTACTATCTGGCTTAATTGAAGAGAGCTGGGTTCTCATATTTCATTTTGTACTTAGTCATTTGCAATGCCACAGGTCATATAGCCTCTAGAATATGCCACTGTACACTCATGAGAGAATGAGAATGGAAAAGGAAAACAGTGTTTTAGTATTATTACAAAAGTAATTTTGATTCTCAAATCTACTTAAAGTATAATTGAGCACTTCCAGTAGTGTCCAAGTCATACTTTGAGAATCACTATAATATTAGGCTCTGGTAATACAAAAGAATAAGATAATGTTCTTGACTTTGAGAAACACATGGTACATACAGTCCAGAAAGCAGAAATAGAAATAAATGAAATTAATTCAATTGTAGTATTGTCTATATATATAAAAGTCTAAGTGACCGGTCCATCCATTTGACTGTCCCACCAGTAGCTATGATACACAATTACCACCTGGGGCAGAAGCTTTGACTGGAAGCTATAACGTGCACTGATCACCAGGGGCAAATGCTCAATGCAGGAGCTGCCAAGCTGCAGTGACTTGGCAGCTGCGGTTCTCAAATGACACATCCAAATCAGAGAGGAGGGAGCCCGATTCCAAGTGCATCACCCAGAACTTCCTCTCACAATCCTAGACCCCATGGGGGATGTCAGAGATCCAGTTTTGGCCAGATCCTCGCAGAACCCCATTGGTGCATGAATCCGTGCACTGGGCCTCTTTGAGCAGTGTGATATAGGGAGCATAGAGGAGAGAAAAACATGAAGGTGTCTGGTAAACTCTCAAGAATCCACTTAAGTTGTTCCGCTAGCAAAGAAGAGGGGGCACAGCAGGAAATGGGAATGCTCAACAGATTCAGAGACATTACTTCTGATTAATTACAGAGAACAAATGGGGATGAACTTGGAGAACTAGCTAGAGTGCAGGTTGTGAAGGGCCTTCCTTACTGGGCCAGCTGCAGTTAGGAATTTATGATCTGATCATCACCCTGGGAGGTTATTTTCAGTCCTATTTATTAGAGAACCCTTTTTTCATCTATATCCTTGTGTCTTTAGATCATCATCTCTCTACACATGCCTGTGTCTAAATTTTCTCTTCTTATCAGAACACCAATCATTGGATTAGGGGACACCTTAAATTCCCTTTAACTTGATTATCTCTGTAAAGACCCTATTCTACAAGTACTGGAGCTTCAACATGGGAAGTTAGGAGGGTACACAGTTCAACCCATAACAATTCATCTTCTCCTTTTAGTTAGAATATACTATATCTGTTAAACAAATACAGTAGTTCCTAAAGAATTTTTATCAAATACATTGAGAATCTAATGAAAGCGAACTTTCTCCCTGGAAAACACATACTAATCAAATTTACTATTATTCCGGGAAAATGTTAGCTATACAAAGCTACACATAGGGCATTATTGGAGTGTTTCACTTTATATTATCATTGTTTGATAAATAATAATTTTACACATAACTTTTAGCAATCTGTTGTATAAAGAAAATATAAGCAATTCATTGAGAAGTAACTGTTATGTAACAGTTGCCTGTCAAAGGATTACTTTGTGAAACACCAGTCAATTTCTTCATTTTGTTGGCTTTGTGACACCATTATAAGCTTAGGATAGAGTAAAAAGAAAGGTAGCGAAACCAGTTTGGCTCAGTGGATAGAGCATCGGCCTATGAATTGAAAGATCCCAGGTTTGATTCCGGTCAAGGGCATGTACCTTGGTTGCGGGCATATCCCAGTAGGGGGTGTACAAGAGGCAGCTGATCGATGATTCTCTCTCATCAATGTTTCTAACTCTTGATCCCTCTCTCTTCCTTTCTGTAAAAAAATCAATAAAATATATTTTTTAAAAGAAAGGTAGCTATGAAGACACTCATTTGAAATTTATTTGTTCCTTAAGCATGATTATAATGCCTTTATTTGTACACAAACATAACCACAATCATACTTTATTTCTGCTTAATTATTTGTACTACATACCCTTTTATTGAACTGTTATCCTATATAATAAAGATATAAATAAGAAAATGGTTGTTACGCCGTGAAGAGTAAAAACCAACTGCATAACGACTGGATCACGGATCAGCAGGAGGGTGGGGCAGCAATTTATGAGGAGGGTGGGGAGGAGCTACAGGCCAGAAGAGAGCTACTGGCAAACTACTGGTGCACCGATTGATGCACAGGGCTACTAGCTTTTAGAATATGTAACATGTAATCCGTTCATCTATAATGCTTACGTTAGCAAAAATAATTCAGGATATGTGTTTGCTTTAGAATTCCAAGAGGAATGCTTCCTCCCCATCTGTGAAAAACAGACCAAATTCAATTATTTAGGACATGCACAATTATTAGGTTCTTTTTAGTTAGGAGCCCTAGGCAGTTGGAGATAGATAAGGATTAGTTACTCCCCTATAGCCTTGTTTGCCAGGTTATAATGAAGCAAATTCTGTCATACACAAAAACATCTGTTAGCAAGGCATAAGTAAAACAGTATGATAAACTTGTTTTATGGGTTCATTGAAATCCCAATGTCCTTTTTGGTGATACATTTTATCTTTTTTTTTTTTTAATGATATATATTGATTGAAGAAAAAAATGAAAAATACAGAGGAGCTAACAGAAGAAAAAAATCACCTGCTATCCAACTATTCAACAATGATAATTATTTATTACAAGAGGCCCAGTGCACAAAATTTGTGCACGGGGGTGTGTGTCCCTCAGCCCAACCTGCACCCTCTCTAATATGGGACCCCTCCAGGGATGTCCGACTGCCTGATCAGGCCTAAATGGGCAGTCGGACATCCCTCTCACAATCCACGACTGCTGGTTCCCAAATGCTCGCCTGCCTCTGCCTGATTTCCCATAACTGCTTATGCCTACCAGCCTGATCACCTAACCACTCCCCTACCAGCCTGGTGACCCCTAACTTCTCTCCCTTGCAGGCCTGGTAACCCCTAATTGCTCTTCCTTGCAGGCCTGGTCACCACCTCCCCCCAACTGCTCTCCCCTGCAGGCCTCGGTTCCCCACAACTGCCTTTCCTGCAGGCCCAGTTGCCCCCCAACTTCCCTCTGCTGGCCCGTTCACCCCCAACTGCCCTGCCCTGTGGCCTTGTCTCTCCCAACTGCTCTTCCCTGCTGGCCTGATCACCCACCTTGCAGACCTAGTCCCTCCCAACTGCCCTCCCCTGCTGGCCATTTTGTATCCACATGGGGGCAGTCATCTTCGACCACATGGGGGCAGCCATATTGTGTGTTGGAGTTAAGGTCAATTTGCATATTATTCTTTTATTAGATAGGATAGAGGGCTGGTGCATGGATGTGGGCTGGTTGGTTTGCCCTGAAGGGTGTCCTGGATCAGGGTGAGAGTTTCCTTGGGGTGTGGGGCGGCCTGAGGAAGGGACCTTTTGTGGTTTTGACTGGCCACACCCCCTGGCAACCCAAACGGGGGGGGGGGGGGGGGGGGGCGCCAGTATCTGGGATTTATTTATCTTCTATAATTGAAACTTTGTAGCCTTCAGCAGAACCAAGCCTCCTGCTCGCTCAGTGGCCACAGTCATTTTTGTTGGGATTTATTTATCTTCTATAATTGAAACTTTGTAGCCTTAAGCAAAGGCCAAGGCAGGCCAGGGCTGCGGAAACTTGGCTTCCTCCATCACCAGGGGCAACTCAAGCCTCCTGCTCTTTCTGGCTTTGTGGCTGCCACCATTTTTGTTGGGATTTATTTATCCTCTATAATTGAAACTCTGTAGCCTTAAGCGGAGGCCAAGGCAGGCCAGGGCAGGCGGAAAACTTGGCTTCCTCCATTACTGGGGAAATCCAAGCCTCCTGCTTTCTCTGTGGCCACAGCCATCTTGGTTGGGTTTAATTTGCTTACTTGCTCCTGATTGGCTGGTGGGTGTGGCTTGTTGGTGTAGCAGAGGTACAGTCAATTTACAAATTACTCTTTTATTAGAAATTAAAATTCATCTGTGCCTTTGTGCAGTTGCTTACATTAAAAAGAAAGACTTCTTATTAATCATCTACAATATAACTAATATTTTCTTGAGTCATTAACTATTTTGTAATGTGGTTTTTAATAGCTATATCAGATTTCATTGTATGGATAGACAGTAATTTATTTAAGCAATTTCCTATTGCTGGTCATTTAGAATATCACCAGTTTACTATTAAAGACTTTGTAGACTTAATTCCTTTGTTTTTCAGACCTAGTCCTTATGTACCTGTCTATCTTTGACTGTTAAAATGACAGTCTCCTTTACCTTGTCTTTAAGTTAAAATTCTTATATAATTCTTTATTTTAGATTTTTAAAAGTTATAATTTTTAGCATTTTGCTAATATAAGCATTATATTTTAATAAAGCAGGTTAAAGTACTGTTTGGAATATTTAATATACTAGTTGTTAGATTAATATACTAGCTTATTTTAAATATACAATTTTAGGCCGAAGCTGGTTTGGCTCAATGGTAGAGCGTCGGTCTGTGGACTGAAAGGTCCTGGGTTCGATTCTGGTCAAGGGCATGTACCTTGGTTGCGGGCACATCCCCGGTAGGGGGTGTGCAAGAGGCAGCTGGTAGATGTTACTCCCTCATCAACGTTTCTAGCTCTCTATCTCTCTCCCTTCCTCTCTGTAAAAAATCAATAAAATATATTTTTTAAAAAATGTTTAAATATACAATTTTAGGAGTATATATCCTGGGGAAATACGGACAGAAGAAAATCAGAGAAATACAAGAAAAGGAAGCTGCAGAATATATTGCTCAAGCACGACGACAGTATCATTTTGAAAGTAACCAGAGGACTTGCAATATGACAGGTAAGGCCAGAGAAATATTTACATATGTACAAAGTTATTTAATGTTTATTTTCATTTTTATACCTCCAGGACAGAAAAGGCAAAAGAAGAATGGTAAAATTTAGCAGGTATTTAATTCATGATTTAACTGAAATACATATGGATTTTAACAAATCACTATACAATATAATTGTTCATTCATTCATTTTATTTATTCATTCAGCAAATAATTTGGGGTACTCAACACTTTTTTTTGGAAAACAGAGATGAACAATTAAAAAAAAAAAAAAAAAGATCCCTGACCTTCAGAGTTTATGTGCTACTGAGAGAAAAACATGATAATCCTCAAATAAGTAACCTTAAGCAGTGACAACTTCTAGGAAAAGAATAAAACTGTGGGAAGGGTGGAATTACTGTTTAAGATAAAGAAATCAGGAGAGTCAGGTGTCTTTGAGGAGAAACCAAATGATACATTGGAGGAAGCTATGCAAAAGCCAAAATGCCTGAGGTGGGAGCAAGTATGGCACATTCAAGAAATAGTATAATGAGCAGTAAAAGAGTGATAGGAAGTAAGGCTGCAGGTAGGCTTGATCTCATTGGGCCTTATCTATCACTAGAAGCCCAGTGAACGAAATTCATGCATAGGGGTTGGGGTATCCCCTCACCCCAGCCTGCACCCTCTCCAATCCAGGATCCCTCTCTCAACCATGGACCACTGGCTCCTAATCGCTCACCTGCTTTTATCTTTACCTTTTTCTTCTTCTTCCTCTTCTTAAATAATATCTTGCAGCATTTCATATAATACTGATTTGACAGTGATGAAATTCTTTTAGCTTTTTCTTATCTGTGAAGCTCTTTATCTGCCCTTCAATTCTGAATGATAACTTTGCTGGATACAGTAATCTTGGTTGTAGGTTCTTGCTGTTCATCACTTTAAATATTTCTTGCCACTCCCATCTGGCCTGCATGGTTTCTGTTGAGAAATCAGCTGACAATTGTATGGGTACGCCCTTGTAGGTAACTAACTGTTTTTCTCTTGCTGCTTTTAAGACTCTCTCTTTATCTTTTGCCCTTAGCATTTTAATTATGACGTGTCTTGGTGTGGTCCTCTTTGGATTCCTCTTGTTTGGGGTTCTCTGCACTTCCTGGACTTGTAAGTCTATTTCTTTCACCAGGTAGGGAAAGTTTTCTGCCATTATTTCTTCAAATAGGTTTTCAATATCTTGCTCTCTCTCTTCTTCTGGCACCTCCATAATTCTGATGTTGATATATTTGAAGTTGTCCCAGAGGCTCCTTGCACTATCTTCATATTTTTGGATTCTTTTTTCCTTTTGCTTTTCCAGTGGGTGTTTTTTGCTTCTTTGTATTTCAAATCTTTGACTTGATTCTTGCAATTCTCTAGTCTGCTGTTGGATCTCTGTATATTATTCTTTATTTCAATCAGTGTATGTTTAATTCCTAATTGGTCCTTTTTCATATCCTTGAGGGCCTCACTATATTTTTTGGAGGTTTCTAGAAGATTCTTGAGTAATCTTATAACCATGGTTTTGAACTCTATATCTAGTAGTTTGCTTTCCATTTCTTTTATTTGTGACCTGATTCTTTGTGTCCACATTTTGGCTGCTTCCCTGAGTTGATAGAGTGGCTTTTTGTGCTAGATGTCCTATGTGGGCTGTGTGCACAGTCTTGTTGTAGTTAAGCCTTGATTGCTGTTAGTATCACTGGGAGGAATTGACCTCCAGGCCAATTGACTGTGAGGACCAGTTGTGTCTACACTGGGAGAACTTCTTTGCTGGAGACACCCTAATGGGCAGGATTTGCTTCAATGTGGCTTTGGTGCTCACTGATTCTGCCCTCTGAGTGTGTTTCTTATGGATGTGAAAAGTTGTAAACTGGATGATCTTACTCTGACCACTGGGTACATTGGCTCTTGGATATCCAAAGAGGTGCAACTTTAGTTCTGCCTGAGGACACCCAGCAGGAGCTACAGAGAGATCTGCAGATTTCTCCTCTTTGTTTGGAGTTTGGAAGTGCCAAGATGAGGCCCAGCTGTGAAGCAATGCAAGAAGCTGTCCAGCCTTGGGCCTTCTTTTGGAGGCTCTGGGGCGCTCTGACCTAGCTGGAATTTTACAGGTCAAAATGTTGTTCTTAATCATTTTATTATATCAGAAATAGACTTTTTTAAAGAAAATTTGGAGAGTACAGAAAAAAAAAAAAAAAAAAGAAAAGGAAAAAAAAAAGAATCATCCACAATCCATAGCCCAGATACCACCACTGTTGGCATCTGAGAATAACTCTTCTCATACTTTTTTCTATGTGTACTTGTTTACATTGCTATAATCATAGTATGCATAAAATTTTGTTCACTCAATATAAGTAGATAAATGGTTTATTAGTATATAATCCATTTTTATTAACATTAATAATAATAATTTGAAAACTCTAATCCTGGCCTTCCTCCCAACCCTTGCTAGTTGCCAATCCTGTCATATGGCCTAAAACAATGTGCATTTCTCAGGGAAGGTAGTCATAGCACTTGTGACTTTTATTTTCTGTTTGTGTTACAGTGCTGTCCATGCTTCCAACACTGAGAGAGGCCTTAATGCAGCAACTCAATTCTGAGAGCCTTACAGCTCTGCTAAAAAACAGGTAAATGCAAGGTACAGCATTTTTTAAATTATATACTGCACTTAAAGTGTGTACAATTAACTGAAATAATTTTCAAACATCTTTGCTTTCTTGTTTTTTTCTTTCTAATTAAAGCTTACAACATAGGCTTATTTGGAAAAAAATATTTACTAACTCTATCTTTGAATTCATATTTTATTTTGTCCATTTATTTATACTCTACCTTGATGCACAAAATATTTGGGTAAGCAATTATTTATGTGTATTCTGGTTTTTATATAAATAGATCTTATATCACTGACATTACTCAGAAATGTAATTATTGAATTCTTATGGAATGTGTTTCTGAACCAAATCCTAAGTTATGTTAAACAGTGGGCTTCTTAGAGAGTTTATAATGTAAGAGGTAAATCATGTGAACATGTATTTTAGGTAAATAAGACATATGAACTTACATTTTATTTTATTTTTTATTGATTGATTAAGGTATTACATATGTGTCCTTATTACCCCATTGCCCCACACCACCCTGAACTTACATTTTGTATTATTTACAAAGTGAAGTGCAAATACAACATGAGCAACAATAATGATAATTTATTTTACCATGACAGTTTACTGGCTACACAGCACTTTCACACATCGGACCTTGTATATGGAGGCAGTATGTGTTGGGTATTTTAATTTGGTGGTGCTATGTAAGTTTGAGAAGAACTCCAGAAGAAAGTGGCTTCTTTTTTTAATAGGCAAGATGGAGAGAAATGGTTTCAGTAAATAAATTTTAATCATTGTGGCCTTACTGAAATATTCACTTTCCTAGTAATCATCCTCCAATACCCAAGGGAAGAAAGTGCTATTGCTGAACTCTCTCTGTGCCAGTGCAGATACCTTACATGCATGCTCCCATTTAATGTTCACACTTGCTCCATTTAATTTTCACAATATCCTTGTGAAGCAGATATTCTCATTCATTTTGCACATAGGAATTTATTGCTCAGATAACTTCAACAGAAAGCTGGAAATTTTCTTTGAAACATTTTCTTTATTCAGAGAATACCTCCCAAAATGACAATGGATTTGTGTACTTGGAATCTATTTTTATCTGATTAAAATGTAATTTTAGTTTTCCTTCTAAATTTCATCATTGTTAGAGATTGACATAATTTTACTATTACTTCCAGATGTAAGTTCCATTTATGTTAGTTCATATAATTATATGAAGAAGAAACATATTAATAAATTACTCTCAAATAAATCCTTTTTATCATATGTATGTCCATAAATAGGGGATAAATAAATAGGGGAGGGCAATTAGGGGCAAACAGGCTGACAGTGGAGCAGTTAGGCATCAATCAGGCTGTCAGGGAAGTGGTTAGGGGGTGATCAGGCTGGCAGACAGAAGCGGTTTGGGCAGTCAGAAAGGCAGGCAGGCGAGCAGTTGGGAGCCAGCAGTCCTGGATTGTGAGAGGGATGTCCGACTGTGGAATCGTGTCTAAATGGGCAGTCGGACATCTCTCAAGGGGTCCCAGATTGGAGAGGGTGCAGGCTGAGTTGAGGGACACCCCCCCATGCACGAATTTTGTGCACCGGGCCTCAAGTGTGTATATAAATAGGGAATAAAATTACATTTTAATTGTCTTAAGTTTTAGTTTTATTGGGGAGACATGACAAATGAAGTAGTGAGTAGCATCTTTATAAAAGCAACATAAAAACAGTGGCATGTTTTTATGTTGCTTTTATAACATGTTTTTATGTTGCTTCCTGGATGACTCTTTCCTGCAAGGCCCTAGGTTCCCTGTGATAATTAACAAAGGGTATCTTTCCCTTTAAGACATTGCCATCCTAGGAAGGAAGTAGATGAAATAAAATATAATTCAAGACATATTATGTTTTTTCTGTGGTTTAAAAAAAATGTAAAAGCAAACTGGGTGTGAAGATGTGTTGGGCTAGAGAAAACAGGGATTAGTTTTGAAGGGTAATCTTGGACAGCTTTAAAGAAGAGGTGTCATTCCTCTTACTCCATTGCAGACAGGAGAATTTCTTACATTCTTAAGAGCTTAAAATGGGCAACAGTTCTAATTCACTGTTTCCTTCTTATATCTGTGTTATTTTTCCTTACCTTTTTTTAAATTTGAAATTACTGTTTGCAGATTGAAGTAAAAAAAAAAAAAAGTCTATTTGAAAGACATTTGCATAAAGAGGGGCTTAAACTCTTACCAAGTGTAATTAAATAGTCCCCCAACATAATAATTGTTTTTGTATTAGTTTTCAGTCAACTAAGGTCTCTTACAAGTCTGTCAAGCAAATTAATTTTCTCTTTATACTAGTTATGATAATAGCTGACCAGAAATAAAGAAAAGATTTGGTGGCCTTATTTTGTAAGTTTAGCAAATAAGCTTCCATCACTGTTTTTAGTACTTGGCATTCTTATTGAAGACTGATAATGACAATGATGTTTTGGAGACAAAGAAGCTTTAACATCTTCTATAATAAAAGAAATAGAACACTTTGAAAGGATTAATTTAATTCTTAAGAATACATTTTAGTGACACTAAAGAATTCCAAGTATAAATTCATGATGTACTTTATCTCTTTGAAAATACGTTCATATAAGTATACAGCAGGTCCTCTGGTTACGTTGGAGATCTATGACATAACATGATTTTCGCCATAAGTCAGAACCTACCTACAAAGCACCTACATCACTCACATGGAGCATTTACACAGCAGTAATGAAGTGAAACAGTAAAAAAAAATAATAATAATAAAAAAAATAAAAAAATAAAATTTAAAGAAAGATATCAATTCCTGACCTTTATTTGTGGTAATAAATAATAAAAAACATAAAGCACATATGTACATATATTGAAATGACAGAACTTTTTTTGTATATAAATAAATGGGAGATGGCAATGTAACCATGAAATGATGTATGTCGAGTTCGACATAACCCAAGGACTGTGTTTATAAATACACATATATGTACTATCTTAGTTGCTGAAGAAGCTTAGAATTGTTACCCAATAGTGATGAATATCTTTAATTGAAGGTTGCCATCTCAAGATACCTTTTCCTGCTACCAGGAAATAGGACTCTTGGAGAAATAGCTGATTTCAGGTCTACAGCAAGAAATGAACAAGATAAACACACACAGTTTTTGATGTCAGTAAGCAAGGAAGCTATCAAAGACTAAATGGGGTAATGTCAAAAGAATTCGTGAACAAGTTAAGTTGATAGTAAAAAATGGACAATTTGAACATCAATAAGAATAAGTAAAGTGAGTTGAAATACATCAAATATATATTTAAATTCGTGTGTCTTGATACTTTAAAACAAAACAAAATAAAAATAAAAACTTCATTATTTTCCTTTCAATGACTATAGGACCTATTTCATTATATGTAAAATGGTAAATATGGGAAAGAAATAAACATTGTTGCTGTTTTTCCTACATGATTTTATAATACATACTAGAGGCCTAGTACATGAAATTTGTGCACTTGAGGGGGTCCCTCAGCCTACCCTGCATCCTCTCCCAGTCCGGGAATCCTCAGGGGATATATGACTGACAGCTTAGGCCCATGGGGAGCTGGGCTAAGCCGTCACAGAGGTAGGAGAGGCTCCCACCACTGCCACTGCGCTCTCCAGCCGTAAGCCCAGGCTCAGGGCTTTTGGCTAAGCAATGCACGCCCTGTGGGAACACACTGACCACCAGAGGGCAACTTCTTCATTGAGTGTATGCCGCCTGGTGGTCAGTGCATGTCATAACAACTGGTCGTTCAGTCAACTTGCATTTTAACCTTTTATTATATAGGATATTCATATACTCTAAAAGAGTAAAAAACTAGAAGGATATACACCAGTATGCTATTGCAAATAGTTGCTAGCATTGGTTACTAAAATTATAGTTATTTTTTACTATATTTTGTGGGCTTTGTTTTTTGTAATAAACTACAATTAAATATACAGCTATAAAATGTAAAGTTTTCTGTTAGATGATCTGAATATTATTTTCATATATTCTTATTTTTTTTCTTTAGGCCTTCAAACAAGCTAGAAATATGGGAGGATCTGAAGATAATAAGTAAGCTTACATACTCTGTGACAGCATCACATCCTTAAAATATTTCTAAAGAGAAAATTTTGTACTCTATGTGGATGACTTCTTTATCTCATAGAGTTATCAGGATTAAATAATTCTCATAAAAAAGTAGGTCAGTTTCTGGTCATAGAAAGTACTGAGTGTTAATAGTGTAGGTAGTATTATTGTTATGATAATATGTAAACTTGTCCTAGACTACATATGACTATACTAGGTACTGATATCTGCAATATTATACTTTAAAGAAGTTTTTATTTCAACCCAGACAGTAACTTTACTTTGTATTGTGTACAAACTTTCATTAGTAATAAAAGTTTGAAGCAAAGAGCTGTCCTAGCGCATATATACATCCATGTCTTATAACTTCATACTATCATTCCTACATTTTCTCATCCATTCAACTAATCTTTATCAACTGAATCATGCTTAGGCCTTCCTGTTTGAAAATAAATTAAATCTTTATAGTACCCTCCATTTCCTTTGAGCTATCATGCAGTTTCACACCCCCATATAATACCAAATATTTCTACATTCCCTTCTCCTCCCTCTCACTCACTGTTTGACACACTACAGCCTGGATTCTACTCCTATGTCTTCACCCCCGCAGATCTTGCAACATTAGTAGTAACTTTTATGTTGCTAAATCCACTGGACGTTTTTCTCCTGTTAGCCTCATGGCAACAGTCAACACCTTTGCATTCTCCTCTGTTTTGAACACTCTGTTCTATGCTACTGTGACACCTCGTCTCCAGATGTCTCCCTGTGTTTCTGTGCCTTCCCCTAGCCCTTTAATGGGCTCATACTTCTTTGCCTGTCTTTGAAAGCTGGAGTTCTTCCAAGCTTAGTAAAATTCTTTTACTCTGAATTAGCTTCCTGGGAAAACCAGAGTTCTGAGGCTGCAACTCTTAGTGCTTCCCAGTCCTTTTTTATTTAACTTTTTAAAGTTAAAAATATATAATCCTTCATCCAATATATTGGTTATTGTTTCAATTAAGAGATCTACCTAGTGTACATTAAAAAGTTATGAGATAGACTTTGAAATATTTTGAATTGATATATTTTGTATTTGAAACAGTTACAAATGTATTTTTAAGTCATCTTATGAGAAAACAATCATTGCAATGATTCATGTCTTTACACATTGATTTGTGTTTTAATAAGAGTACCAAATGATTTTTTTTCCTCTATGAAGGCTTTACAAGAAGTATTGTGGCTGTATATAGTACATGTATGCTGGTGGTTCTTTTGCGAGTCCAGTTAAACATTATTGGTGGATATATTTACCTGGATAATGCAGCAGTTGGCAAAAATGGCACGGTGAGTTGAATAGACTTAAATAGATAGTGTCCTTTGTTTCAAAAGGTTCAAAATTTAATTGAATATTACTACTATTGGTAATTTCTTTAACTATCTTTATATTTCATGTGGTTATAAACTTTTAGCATTATTATTTTTTATATTTTGAAACTAGACTTTTTGATTATGTTAGAGTGTTATATTGCCTATTAATCCAGCTCAAGTTACACTGAAAATATTATTTACTAATAATATTGTGTAATTTAACCTTCTATTTTGTACAGACAGTCCTTGCGCCCCCAGATGTCCAACAGCAATATCTATCAAGTATTCAACACCTCCTTGGAGATGGTAAGATTCTTATTTGTGACCTGTAAACTAATTGTAATTCATTCATTTGTATTATTGAGGAGTTTGAAAAGTAAACAAGGCTTTATGTTTGTTTTCTTTTAATAGGCCTGACGGAGCTGATCACTGTCATTAAACAAGCTGTGCGTAAGACTTTAGGAAGGTGAGGCATTTTGCTTCAGCTTTTCTGACTTCTTATTCTAATGAATAAAAGAAAAATTAGAATTGTTCTAGTGAAGCTAGTAACTTGACAAAGGTTATTCATGAGTTTCTTTGTAAGCTAGTAAGAGATATAGCCCTTGGATATTGTATTGTGGAATCCATTTTCTTCATTTGTATCAACCTTTTGATAGTAAGGGTAAACTCTTAACGTTTCATTGTTTTTTATTGATTTCCAAACCAGAAATATTTGGGTTGTGGGGTAAAAACCTACTTTAAAATTAGCCTCTGAGGATTTTATCTCCCACTTATACTGATAATGTCTATAATTACAGTGGGAATTTTCTTGTGAAATCTGCAGCAAGATTTTTCTTGGCTCTGTAATAATGCCCTTTAAGTGATGGTTGATTTCTTAATCTATTCAAGTGATTTCACAGTCAGCAGTTTCTGTTTGACTGGATGAAACGGGATCTCAGATAGTAACCTGATAGGAAAAGAGTGTGTGTAGGATGTACGATATAGTTTCAATTAATCCCAATTTCCTTTTCTCTGTTTCTAGTGTTTCTCTTAAACATTCTTTGTCCCTTTTGGACTTGGAGCAAAATCTGAAAGAAATCAGAAATCTCGTTGAGGAACATAATTCTTCTTCTTGGACTAATAACAATGGATATAAATCTTTATTATGCCATTATATGATGCCAGATGAAGAAACTCCATTAGCAGTTCAGGTGCTTAATTCATGACTATTTAACCAAAACTCTTACTCTATATATTTAAGTGTTTTATTGTCTCTTAAAATGTAAATTTCTGAATCTCTTAAAAGGTAAGCATTTGAAATATATATTTCAATAATTTAAATAAAACTCATTAATTTAGAAAACAAATTTCATATATGATTTCTAGTTAGAAACATTTATAATTTTAGATACACAGATATTAGTTATGTGACAAATACTATGATATATGATCAGGATATAAAATGAATAAGACATGTTCATTACATGTCAGAAACTCAGGAGACAAATTCAGTTCATATGGCTAGAGAATATTATATTTCTATGAGATAAAGTAGCAGAAGATAGAGCTAGCCCAGCCACTGTGACTCAGTGGTTGAACATCAACCTAAAGACCAGGAGGTCATCATTCAATTCCCAGTCAGAACACATGCCTGGGTTTCTGGTTCTCTCCCAGCAGGGGGCCTTCACGAGGCAGCCTATCAATGATTCTCATCATTTATGTTTCTATTGCTCTCTCCCTCCCCCTTCCTCTCTGAAATCAATAAAAATATATTTTCAAAAAAGAAAGGTAAATTTTAATCAGGCCAGTTACCACTATCACATTTGTTTTTTAAAATAAATCAATGATGGCAATATCTAAGTGGACAGAAGGAAGTTGTCATCCAGTTGAGAAACAAATAAGGCTTAATCTAGCAGTTATCCACCAATGCCAAAGATTGCAGATTCTATATCTCATTTAAAAATAATTATTGGCTTTTTCATATGTAAGTGGATTGCACCCATGCATCTCTCGTTTGACAACTGGAGAAGCCTTAGACCAGAAAGGTCCCTATGCCATACCTTAGCATTAGAACAAAGAATGCTATGTATTTCATTGCCTGCAGGTTTCACCCCCTCCCTAAAGACCCAAAGATAGACCTGTTGGATGTTGAGATATTTTGTATTCATGAGAAGGCCAAAAATAAGTTGCAACCTCTTTAAGCCATCTCTGTAGGATGGATGGAGGCTAAAATGAACCAACAGAACAGATGGGACAGAATTAATAAAAGAAACAGGAGAAAACTTACAAGCTATAATGTCAAGGAGATATAATAAGGTATTTAAAAAGCATTCTGGAATTTTAAAATACAAATTTTAAAATTCTGTGGAACTAAAAAAAATGATTCAAAAGAACAGGTGAAAAGATGAATAGTGAGCCAAATATTACCTGAATTAAAGCCTGAAACTTCAGATTGAAAGGACACACAGAGCCCCAGACTAGCGTAAATTGATCCAAAAGACCCATTCATATCCTGATAAAATGTCTTTCCAGTAAAAGAAAAAAATATTGCAGGCCTCTGCAACCTCAAGGACTATTTGTTCTTTGCAAATATATGCTAGAAATGTGTCTGAGAGGGCACAGATAAAGATTTACAAAGTATTATGATTTTCTTTGATTTATCTTTTAAAAACACATTTATAGTTCTTATGTAGTTTAACATTTTTTGCTTGTTGGTAGAACATAGACTTAGATTTTATCAACTCTGGTGTTTATTAATATGACTAGTTTCATCATAACCCCATACTAATATTTGAAATCTAAAGTATGGTATTTTAATTTCATAGGCCTGTGGGCTTTCTCCTAGAGACGTTACCACTATTAAATTACTCAATGAAACTAGAGACATGTTGGAAAGGTATGTATACTGTATGTAACAGAAAACATGTGTTTCTGTTTTAATTGTACTCTTACCACTTTTAATTCTTCTTGAAAAAAATATTCAGCATAATCTCTTGTCAAAATTAAATTTTGAATCTGTTGCTCTGCCTTTAGGTAGGATTTCCAACTAAAACTAGTTCTTTTATTAGGGTGGGGAAGGAAGCAGAGATTTTTTTCAACATACTCATGCCGGGCCCACTTCCCTAGCCTAGAGAGTCTCTCTCTCTCTCTCAATTGAGAACTACTCCCCTGAGCCCTTTTAGGATAGAATATAATGTTTCTAAGCTTTGAGTGATAAAAATATCACATCTTCCCTTAATTGGGTATTACTATTTTAAATCATGCAGAAGAGAACTAGGGTGTTAAAAGTAGAGAAAACAACAGACTCTACATTAGAAGACCAGAACTAGATTCAAGATTGGCTTGCATATTTATTGTCTGTTCAATCTTGCTTGAGCCGCTTAAACTCTTTCAGGTAGTTTTATCATTGTAAAAGCTGAGTAGGAAAACCAGTCTTACCCACTTTACCTTAAGTAATTAAAATAATCAAAACTTCTTTTAAATTAAAGATAATTTAAGATCATTTCTCTAGTTTTTGGGTTTTTTTCTGAGGAAATTATATCCTCTTCTTATAATAATTCTTAATGATCTTGAAGAAAATCAGCAATTTTTTTAGGTTAACCCAGCTGCTGAATCTACAATTTGAATTCATCAAGTTCTAGTGACTTTCTACAGTAGCGATCTCCCCCCCCCCCGCTTTTTTTTTCTTGTTCAGGTTTCCACCAAATCACTCTATGAAGCTCTAGGAAATGTCATCGTGATCTTTTACCAAAGCCATTAGCCCCTAATGTTCATCTTACTTGACCTTTCTTTGGTAATTGACACAGTTGATCAAGCCTTTCCTGAAATTATTTTCTCATATGGCTTCCATCGCAGAACAATTTCTTAATTTTTCTCACGTCATGTTTTCTTAGGTTCCTCTAAATCTGTCTTTCCATTAAACATTAGAATCTCCCAGGTAATTGTTCATATTCCATCCTTAATTGCTCCAAGAAGATTTTTATATTCCCATTGCTTTTTTTTTTTTTTTTAAATACTGTGTGCTAATTCCCAAATTTATAGCTCTACGTCTCCATTCCCATGAGTTGATATGGATTGAGATTTCTCTATGTTGAAGATAGAAGTAATTTGGTAACTAGGCATTTTCTGATTTTCATAGCACACATACAATATATTATTCTTTATATCGAACTAGAAGCCCAGTGCATGAAATTCATGTACTCGGGCGGGGGGGGGGGGGTCCCTCAGCCCAGTCTGCACCCTCACACAGTCCAGGAGCCTTTTGGGGGGTGTCCGCCTGATGGCTTAGGTCCGCTTCCATATTATGCTTTGATTGGTAGAATGGTCAACCAGACACTTAGCATTATTAGGCTTTTATTATATAGGATTTTTTGTGAAGTGCTAATATGTCATAACAGAAAGATCTTGAACTTTAAGTTAAAAAAAGGTTTGGGTTCTAATTCTAGCTACCCCATTTACTAATTTAATACCATTGGACAAATTTCTTTATCCCTCAAGTATCCAGTTCCTCTTCTATATAGAATAATAAAATGTTCTAAATTACTGGTATTTCATGATAGAATATGTAAAGCAAACCAATAATCTCTGGTTATAAGAGGATTTCTTTAAGAATTTCTTCAAGAGAAGTAATACTATTATTGAAATTTTAAAAATAAATTATACAAAATGCTAACCAATGTAAGAAAATTTAAGGAAGTGGATGAATATTCTCATTGTGTTGTGTTAAATAATAAGCTCTTTTTATACTAATTTTTAAGAATTGACTCCTTGACATATTTTTATAGTGTTGTAAGCTGTAAAACCTAGATTGTGACTAGAAATGGTGGCCCTCAGTGGTAGCCACAGTTCATGAATTTATTTCCTTTTCCATTGAGACTCTAAAAAGTAACCTATCCTTTTATTTTGTGTAGTCCAGATTTTAGTACAGTTTTGAATACCTGCTTAAACCGAGGTTTTAGTAGACTGCTAGACAATATGGCTGAGTTCTTTCGACCTACGGAACAGGACCTGCAGCATGGGAACTCCATGAATAGGTAAGGTGACATGTAAAAATGTTACCAGTCTATTGAGTACTCTAATGAAATAGTGCTTTGGTTCTTTTTATTTTCTGTAACAAAAAACAAACAAACAAACAAAAAAATCTTAGAGGATAAATTTGAGTGCTCATTTTTCAACAAACAAGCTAAACTTCATTAACCCAATTACATCTTCATGAGTAGAACTCCTTCTAGATTCAGTATTAAAACTTTAATTCCTTGTAAAAATTTCCCAATATAATTAAGTACTTAGATTGTGAAACTATCCTACTATCAGCCAAATTCCAACTATTGATGTGGAACTCTTTAGAATACAAAACTGAAAATGTTTTCATGCATTCTCTAATTTTATTCCAGTTCTACAAGCCATAATTGGCCTATATAATTAAATACTTTTGTCATTGTAATAACCAGGCATTCCTGTAATAAGTTTCCTTTTGATGAATTATCTCCTAGTTCTATAACTACATTGGTGTATTCATTTTGTAGAATTGAGAATATTCAGTTAGTTCCATTGTTAGTAATTTTAATAATAACTATTATTAAGTCATGGATTTATACTGCCAAAGGTATTTTATGGTTTTATTACATCCTTATTATCATAACATAAGCACCTTGGATCTCCTATTAAACTTTACACTCTTTAAGAATCTCAGTCTTATATATTAAATTCAGAAAACAGTATACAAATTCATACACCTTGAAAGGAACTGTGGGCCGCGAGGCAGTGGTGGGCACAGGGATAGGTCTCAGCCCATCCTCCGGGCCCTCCCACTGTGACTCCTGTTTCCTCTCTGCCCTCTGCTGGCAGCTCTGCTCCTGCTGCTGACACTCCCAAGCACTGATGGTACCAGCCCTGCTCACACACACTGATGGCGTGGCGTTTGGGGCCAGCACCAACAGCGGTACGAGTGGGGCCGGTGCTGTCAGTGGGTGCCAGCAGTAGATACCATTTTCAGCTATCAGACATACAAAGATTAAAGAAAAGATGATGCTTGACACAGAAAGAAGGCATGAAAAACCAGTATTCTCACTCACTGCTGAAGAAGCAGGAGGGCATTTGACAATATATGATACATTTTAAACCTTGAAAACATTCCTACCCTTTGGCCCAGTAATTCCATGTTAATACAAAGAGTTATTTATATTAAGGAAAATTAGGCAAAAACTTAAATGCCTAGTTCTAGGGAATTGATCATATAAATTATCACAGCTAGTTTGATTACTATATAATCATTAAAAATAAGACAAAAAAATTGGAACTTTTAATAAGATGGAAACATGCTTACATGAATAAAAATTCAAAACAGTATTGCTTGGGAAGTTTTAATTGTACTAGAGGCTCGATGCCTGCAATTCGTGCAAGGAGCTCCAGCCCTCGAAGCCCTGGCTTTGTCCAGAAGGTCATTCGCTGTCCAGTCTAATTAGCATAGTATGCTTTTATTATTACAGATGTTAAAAACAAAAAAAAAGATATGTATAAAAATTACTGAAGGAAATTAACCATGATGTGAGTTTTAGTTGTTTTTTTCTAGGTGTTAGGATTACGTGTGACTTTTATTTTCTTAACACATTTCTGTAAGTACTTTTCCAATAGCTGTTTATGAATTTATAATTAAAGTGTTAAATACATATAAGATAAATTTTAGATAATACTAATCACTGTGATGATGTTTCAGTCTTTCCAGTGTCAGCTTGCCTTTAGCTAAGATAATTCCAATAATAAATGGACAGATCCATTCGGTTTGCAGTGAAACACCTAGTCATTTTGTTCAGGTAAGATGAAAGCTTTGGCGTATTAAAACTAAATTGTATTAACACTTGTTTTTGTCAGTCTTTAAATTTTAACAGTCTAGAAAAATATGAAGTGTTATCTTCTGTGGTCTACTGAGCATCTTTCATGGCTTGTTGGCCATTTTTTATACTTTCTTTTGAAATGATCTGCTCAAGCTACTTCCCATTCTTTTATTGATGTGATTTTCTCTTTATTAATGAGTTGTAGAAGTTCTTTACAAGTGCTCATAAAAGTCCATTGTCAGGTATATAGGTTGTATTTGGGTTTAGGTTTTGTTTTCTTTTCTTGGATATTTGGGGGTTTTTTGTTTGTTTGTTTTTGTAAAGGTATCTTTTGATTATGAAGTTTTTAAGTTTAATTAAATACACTTATTTTTTATCTTAAAAAAAAACACAACAACACAAAAACTAGATTGTATTTTTAGATGTTGTCCTGTTTGTCTAACATAAAATTGCACTTCTCTCCTGTGGTACCTGTTCAAAGAAATCGAAAACTTAAAATCACATGTTAAGTGTGATAAAATGGCCATGCGAGTAATAATGTATCATGGCAAATTTATGAGGTTGGGAATATCTTTCTCCATGTTATAGTGACCTGTGGTCAGAAAACTGTGGCTCACAAGCCACATGTGGCTCTTTGGCCCCTTGAGTGTGGCTCTTTCACAAAATAGCACAGCCTGGGCGAGTCTGTTTTGAAGAAGTGGCTTTAGAAGTTTTTCACTCTTCCTTCTCAAAAGAAATTTCTATTGTTGTACTGTTGATATTTGGCTCTGTTGACTAATGAATTTGCTGACCACCTTTATAGTTCAACACCTGACAGACTATATTGTAGCCCTGATACAATCTAGCGGTCGGTTGAATTTACAGTGTTAATGTTTTGCATTAAGCTGTGTTAGTGAGCGTATTGAGCCTTAAGGCAGATCAGTGACACAAGTTGTCAAATTTTGAGAAGAATAAAATAACTTTTGAGGAAAAGTAAAGCATTTAAATAATTATTATAACTATTAGTAGTAACCAAAAATTTGCTCACTAAAAGCTACATAGACAGTGTAGACTACCTATTTCTCCATCTTCTTTCTTAGGAAAGCATTTTATTTTAGAATACATTGGATAAGACTGATATTATTAAATGAATAACTTTAAATCCATCTAAGTGTTGTTGTTTTTTATCTGAGTCATTTGTAAACTTGGAAACTGTATTATAAGTAAAGAATTACTTGCAATATACCTTAATTTCAAACTACCTCAAGAATGTGCAGTGAGAAGAGTCCCTAAGTATAATGTTAAAGATGGCATTCCTCAAATAAGAACCTAAACAATAAATATCCTAAAACTTATTATAAGACAAAAATACTCCTTTCATTAAATAGTTTTCTTTTTGGCTTTAACACCACAAAACTTAGCACTAAACTCCTTTCTTGATTGCAGAAATGAATTCAGATTATCTACACATTTTTCAGACTAACATTTTATTGTCCTCTTTGTAGGATCTATTGACGATGGAGCAAGTGAAAGACTTTGCAGCTAATGTCTACGAAGCTTTTAGTACCTCTCAACAACTGGAGAAATGATTTTTTTTCTTTCAAAAAACCTATAGTGGAAGAATTTACTTTTAAATATACACGGAATAAGTCAACTATATAACTATAGGGTAATGATTTGTTACCAAAATGCCTAATAAAAAATATTCTAAAAATCTTCATAATAAAATAAATTTATTGTCATCTTATTTTTTTAAATCATCAACAGACTAGTTTTTGTGGGCATAGCTGAACGTACACAGCACACATATCAGAATTTGTTATACCATGGATATTAGTTCCAAACGGACTGAAAACTAAATGTACTAGTAGATACTTGTTTTGTATAATATGAAACTCAGTATACTTTGACAATGATATTGAGGTAAAGTCTTTTTGGGAAATAGGTATGAAGTTTGGAAAACATGCAATTTAACGAATCAAAGTTCAATGAACTGCAGCATATAGTAGTAAATCAGACTTTTCTCCAGTTACTCCTCAAAGGAATAATGTGTCTTACATGTGTTTGATGGAGGACTTTGCTTTTTATGGAAATCAGTAAAATTAATAACCATGATCAGCCTTTACTGTTACAATCCTTAGAAAATGACATAGTGATTTAGAGGCTAAATTGTATTGAGACCATTTACCCACAGATGTTATTTTAACTACATAGTGTCATTCATTTCTATGTAAATAACTTTAATAACTTACTTTGTATTGATTTTAAGCGCAGTGGATATTGCAATAAAATATTTTAGTAAAATGTGGTTTTGTTAATACTTTATAACCATTATTTGTTCCATAGCAGACTATATTTTGTTTATCCATTCATCTGTTGATGGACATTTGGGTTGCTTCCACCTCTTGGCTATTATGAATGATGCTCCTATGAGCATGAATGTGCAAATATCTCTTCAAGACCCTACTCTCAATTCTTTTGGGTATTTACCCAGAAGTGGGATTTCTAGATCATGTAGTTCTATTATTAAGTTTTAGAGGACCTTCCAAACTGATTTTCATAGTGGTTACACCATTTTACAATCCAACAGTGCACATGGGCTCTAATTTCTTTGCTTCCTTGCTAATACTAGTTATTTTGTTTTGTTTTTTGAGAGTAGCCATTCTAATGGCTATGAGGTGACATCTTGTGATTTTGATTTGCATTTCAGTGATTAGTGAATTTCCTATTCTTGTTGGCCTTATGTAAATCATCTTTGGCATAAGGTCTATACAAGACCTTTGCCTATTTAAAAAAAAATGTATTGAGCCCAGCCAGTGTTGTTCAGTGGTTAAGCGTCGATCAATGAACCAGGAGGTCACAGTTAAATTCCTCATCAGGGCACATGCCCAGATTTCAGGCTCGATCTCCAGTAAGGGGCATGTAGGAGGCAACTGATTAATGATTATCATCATTGATGTTTCTATCTTTCCCTCACCTTTCCTCTCTGAAATCAATAAAATTATATTTTTTAAAAAAAACAAAAAATTCCCTACAAACTAAAGCCCTGGACCAGGTGGCTTCACAGGTGAATTTTGCCAAAACCAGATAATGACTAGAAAGAAAAAAATTGGCCAATATCCCTGATGAACATAGGTGGTGAATTCCTCAACAAAATATTAGCAAACTGGATCCGGCAATATGTTGAAAAGATCATACACCATGATCAATTGGGATTTATTCCAGGGATGCAAGGTTGGTACAATATCCATAGCATTTTTGCTGTTATGTTGGGAAGACACTAATTTTCAAGTTTCATTTTAATTGGTAATATAATTGATGTCTTCAAATTTGTTTAGAAAAAAAAATAGCATTTCCTTCTGAAAAGAAATAATTCACTTTCTTTAGTAAATCTATAGTGCTATATTTATGTAGGAAATTAGGGCAGAAATATGCATCAGTATATTATATTTTCAGTAATATAAGATTTTCAGTAACATCATTTTGTGTTCCTCCAACATAAATGTAGCTCAATAGTGGAAGACAGAAAACTAATTATGAAGTCTCTTCTAAGTCCAGACTAGGCCTGAAGCCAACAGGTAGGGAGTCCATGTCTAAAATGTTTTAAAAAATTTATATATATATATATATATATAGTGGGAATAGGAAAAATGCTTCTTTTCAAAATGTGACAGAATATGATGTTATTTCTAATAGGGAGATATAATAACTGCATTTTGGGAAACTAGTGAATGTGTGCATAATAAGGCTGCATCTCTGGTGACTCTTCCTTTTATTAACCCAGGATTTCTTTTTTTTAAAAATATATTTTATTGATTTTTCACAGGAAGAGAGAGGGATAGAAAGTTAGAAACGTCGATGAGAGAGACTCATCGACTAGCTGCCTCTTGCACACCCCCTACTGGGGATGTGCCTGCAACCATGGTACATGCCCTTGACCGGAATTGAACCCGGGACCTTTCAGTCCGCAGGCCGATGCTCTATCCACTGAGCCAAACCGGTGCCGGCTTAACCCAAGATTTCATCCAAAGAAAATATGAGGCTGAACAGATGTGGCCTTCTAAAAATACAAAGTGATCAGCTGAAAATTATCACTATCATCTGCATCTGCAGTTATGACAATTGAAGAGATAATAAGGTAAAAACTACATGTACTTGAAGTTAGTTGACCCTAGACAAATTTGTCTTCTGTCAGTACATTAGGAACCCTCTTGACTGGGACCTTTAATTGTTTGGTTAATCCAAAAAGTCACTAAAGCAGGAATCATAAAAAATAAATAGCCCTGGCTGGTATGACTCAGTTAGTTGGAATGTCATCCTGTGCCTGAATGGTCACAGGTTTGATTCCTGGAAGAGTATGTACTAAAGTGTTAATAGTGGTGATCCGAACAGTGACTTTTCCTTTGAGCATTTCTGTGTTTTAAAATATCTACAATGAACATTTATTAGTTTCATTACCACAGGAAAAAAAATTTTTTAAATAAAGATACAATTACTATAGGCATTGGAGATATATATATATATATATATATATATATATATATATATATAGCCAAATTTATTGTATACCTTCCAGTTGTATTAGTCTTCCAGGGTTGCCATAACAAAATGCCACCCACTGGGCAGCTTAAACAATAACTTATTTTCTCACAGTTCTGAAGTCGTAAAACTCGAGGTGTCATCCAGTTAGGTTTCCCCAGAGACCTCACCTTGCCTTGTAGATGGCCCACCTTCTCACTGTACCCTTACATGGTCTTTCCTCTCTGTCTGTGCATCCCTGGTGACTCTTCTTTTTATAAGGACACCAGTCATGTTGGATTAAGGCCCCCACCCCTGATTTTATTTACCCTTAATTATCTCTTTAAATGCCACACCTCCAAATACAGTTGCACTGGGAATTAAGGATTCAACATTTGGAAGCAGAAATAATTCAGTCCTTAACACCACCAACTGCTAGCTACCCTAAAACAAGAATTTCCAACTCTGATTTGCACATGGAATTAAATTCAATGTGGAGAGACTTTAACAGCAAATATGTGGGAGGAAGAAAATTTTCTGCACTCTTATAGGTTCTTGCAGCAGTTTTAATCAAATCAACATGAAACAGACAAGAGAAGATAATCAAATTTAATCACGTGTGTACATATGAGAACTCCACATACATGAGAGGTTCAGAGATAGGAAGTTAAAATGAGGCATATATGACATTCTGAGCTAAGGTTGAGGAGTAAGGGAAGGCCATGGAGGCTTCAGAGGGAGGGAAGTCTTTGCAGGATGAAAAGAAAATCAGATGTTCATTGCTTTGACATTTGTTCTGCCCAATTATAGAAAGGTCATAAAAAGTTATTTCTTTCCATGATGTGTACAGCGATGACTGACATTTCTTTGTCAAAAATGTCTTAAATAAAGTGGGAGAACATATGCAAGGTTTCTGATTGCAGAATTAAGTGGAGATGGTAAAGATTGTTAACTGACCCAAGAAGGCTTGTAACAACACTTTCTGGGAACTTTGTGGCTTTTCTCCTTTGTTATTAATATTAATTTCTATATTAATTCTAAAAAAATTAAATATCCTGTCAAATATTTTTAAGATATTCTTTGTGTTTATTTTGTAGATCTATCAGTTTACTTGAAACATTAAAATGGTGAGAAATATATTTAAAAACAAAACACCAAAAATGTATCTCTGATGATAACTCTTATTATGGGCAAGGCCCCAAATATAATTCCTTAAGGGAGAGTTAAAAGTTTCTCATGAGCCTTAGGGTCTCAATTGCCCTCAGCTCAAAATAATACATTTCGGAAGTGGCACATCTTGGCCAGGCCTATTCTGAACTCAAGGTCATTGGAAAGTTAACAACAATTACATGGGTAATTTAAGGAGTAAGGGGGGAAAGGGGCTGTATTGCCTAAATAAGTACTTGATTTTTCTTGATCCATTTTACATTTGCTTTCTCCATGTGCTGTAATTATAGAAACCTAGTATTTTCTAGTGTTAGATGTATCTGAGGCATGAACCACTCTGCTGCACGTTAGATCACGTTAGTTAGTGCTAGGGCCCAGCCCCATTTACAAGGTATCTGATGAAAGGTGAGATGTGGCAGTTCCACCATAATGCCATTTTTCTCCAAAGAGATCCATTTAAGAGGCTGTCCATGTCCCAGTAGTTTAACCTGAAATTAAAACACACACAGGTGTCTCCAGGTGTATCTGTGACTTGCACACTTTATTGAGAAGGGTGGTTAATATTCCTTAAAAGCATTGTAGACAGAAGATTCATTTTTTTCTTTTATTTAGTAGTTCAAAAACTGTAATTAAAAATTAGATTTCAACTCCATCTTCTTTTTGGCCTGATCAACCATAAGCATTAGAAATGAAATATGAAAATATGATGCAAGGAAAAGCATATAGACAATTCACCTCCAAGAAAATTGTTGATTTCTTTAAAATAAGCTATAAAATATATCAAAATGAACTCAATCCCAGACTTAGTGGTTAGATTAGAATAACTATTAGATTAACCTTTAACTTTCTCCAAAGTATTTTATGAACTTAATATAATAGGGCTAAGACTTCTTTCTTTTATTCT